AAGGGGGAGGGGGGTTAAGGCCTATCTACCCTGTGAAATAGGTGGGACCCCGAAATACTATGTATAGAGGCGTATCAAAGGGGCCACGGTACAATACGTATTAGTCAATATGCCTCGATACGTGACGAAATTTTAATCATTGACCCACACTAACCCGCACAACCCATTTACCACCATAGAGTGGACTGCAATGGTTGCTTGCAAGGAAGAGAGAGAATGAAGGGAAAACAAACTAGAATTGCTCAGCAAATTGCTTTGAACCACTCTAGGATGCAGGAATCACTCACCACTCTTCACTTATCAAAAAAAAAACTCACCACTCTTAGCACAGTTATAAGAACTACAATAAATTCAGTTGTTTTCCTACACACTTGTGTACTTAGGGGTGTCAATTAGACTAGATTTGGTCCAATCTGATCCAGTCCAATGTGAGTCCATTATAAATGGACCAGGTCCAATCCAGTCCAATGAATGTTTTTGACCAATTTGGACCGGTCCAATTCAATGTCTGGACCATCCAATCTGTTCAAATTCATTTTTTATTTAGATTGGTTTCAATCCAAACCCGGTCCATTGACACATATATTCTTATCTTATATCAATGGACCAGATATTGGCTTAATCCGACCCAATCCAATATAAATTTATTGCGGACAGACCTGGTCCAATCCAATCTAATAAATATTTTGGACTGGATTGGTCCAATCCAATATATCTTGTTGGTCCCTCCAATCCGTCCAAATTGATTTTGGACTGGACGGGGTCCAATCCAAAACCGGTCCATTGACACCTTTATGTGTGCTTAAAACATATGCATAGATGCTAATGGAGGTGACCAATCCTTCTAAAACTAAAAAACAGAAATTACAGAATTATCCTACTTTGACTTGAAGAAAGCTTAATAACTCCTAAACTACTTAAATAACGAATACTCTTTACATGTTATGTTTATGTATTTTAATTTTAGATAATAGGTTTTATAAAACATTTATTTTAAAATTTAAGCTTATATTTTTTATTAATATTATGTTTAATAGTTTTTACTTTTTTTGCAATGCTTTTAATTCTTTGGCCTTGTGCCTTGTGCCTTGTGCCTTGTGCCTTGCGCCTCGGGCGCAAATTGGCCCTTGTGCTTTTAAAGCACTACCTCTACAGCTCCAATAAATAAATAAAAAAAAAAAAGAGATCATGTATTTGACCACTTGGTTTCTAAGTTAAAAAGGAAAATAGGTATAAATCAATAATGGCACAAAAATAGCCTGACACAAGACAAAAAAAGCCAGAAGCAAAAAAAAAAAATCCAGCTTCAGAACCAACCCACCCCCCATCCCCCCTATAAAGAAGGTAGGTGGTTCCCCAATAAAAATAGTCCCATCAACCCTATCTAAGCCCAATGGTTAACTGATCTCAGAGACCACCTGATGTTCACTCTAGAAACCAAATGTAGCTTCCCTTGTGAAATGACAGAGTGACCAAGGACCATAAGCAATTCCATAAAACTCCCAAAAACAATTTCAAAGATTAGGATATTTGGCACGGCTATTTTTAAAAGTTCTTAAGACCATAGTTACTTAAAAGAACAATTCTCATGTCCCTAGAAAAAAAAAAAGTCTTAAAACAAATAAGACACTAGTAGAAACTTACAACCCAAAAGATAAGTGTCTTGTTGTAGACTTATATGTCAACCATAAGGGAACAAATAATAGACAACCACAAAGATGTCAAGAATCACACACCTTAGGAAGACTGACATCAATCCAGTATACCCTAAAAGTGCTTGAAATGCAGAAGATATAATTATAGCCCCCTGCAGCTGCTTCATAATATGCCTGAAATTCTGCAACATTGAACCACTTCTAATAAGATCAGTTTAAAATTCAATAGCAAAAAAGTAGCAGCATAATACAAATTACAGTAATAATAGCACATACAAGGAACTGTAAAAAGTAACAAGAAATAAATATAAAAATGAATCAAGAGATGCCACAGCTAATTAAAAATGAGTATGGCACTTAAGCAACTATTGTAAACAGGACAATCTCCACCCAATTTTTTTCATTTAGCACACCACTCCACCTTTTTTTATCAGTAAAGAAGGATAAATTTTATTAAATTGAAAAAATAAACAAAAGATTACAGCCAGCAGGAGAACACAAACACAACAATCGAAAAGAACTACAAAACTGCCCATAATAGATTTTGTCCGTACACTCCTTGTTTTGCTAGCGAGTCAGCCATCCCATTTGCAGTCCTTCTAATCCAAGTGAAAGTGGCATTGAGCTCCCTTGCTAACCTTTCAATCTCTCACAAGGAATGTCTATAAATCCAGGGAGCATTACCTCTGAAACTGGACCAAGAAATCACCAGTTTTGAATCTCCTTCAACCTCCAAATTTTTAAAACCTGCTTGTTTGGCTAGTTTTAATCCCTGCATAAGAGCATGAAGCTCAGCCTTTATGGGGTCACCTGCCCCTATAGGCCCTGAATACATAGCCAGAACTTTGTTTGTTGAGTCTCTGAACACACCCCCTATACCTGCCAATCCTGGATTCCCTATGGAACTGCCATCAAAGTTCAACTTTAACTTGCTTGCAGCAGGGGGTTTCCATTCCATCACCATCTTTTCTTTCTTCTTAGTTGAACATGCCAGTTCTTTCCAAGCCCGCAGGATATCAGCCACAGAGAAGCTTTGGAACAGCTCGAGTGTTTTTATCCAATGAGCAACTATCTTTACAGCTTCCACCAACTCTTCTTTTGGTCTGCATTTTCCATTGGATATTATTGCATTCCTTTCCTCCCAAATCATCCATGCCACAGCTGCCCTCACTGATTTCCACATTGTTCCTCCCCTCTTTGTCGGCTGCCTTAGGAAGTTTGGGTTGAAGAGGCTCACTACATCCTGTGGGGAGCTCCACCTGCAACTAAACAGAGAGCAAATAGACTTCCAAACAAAAAGCACATAAGGACAGTAGATCAGTAAGTGAGAGAGGGATTCACCATTCGCAAAACAAAGAAAGCACACATGAGGGGAGAGGCACATATGAGGCCTCCTCTTTTGAAGCATATCACAGGTGTTCACCTTTCCAAGGAACATCTCCCAGCAAAGAGTTTGAACTTTGGGTGGAATGGACTTAATCCAATCTCTTTCACCAGGAAATCCTCTCCGCCCCCCAAGAAGAATGCACAAGGGAGTTAAAGAATGCAGCACAGGAAAAAGAGCCATCGGAAGAAGTGGGCCAAACTCTAGTGTCCTCCAAAGATTGGACTAGAAAAGCTGAATTGAGGTTATCAAAAAGGCTTAATAAGCTTTCACACTCACAATCCCTTAGAAACCCCAAGTCTCAACTCACACCAGATTGAGAAAAGGTGATGAAACTTGAGATAGGTCTCTTCTTATAGTCAGAAATCAAGTAAAGATCAGGGAAAACAGAACAAAAAGGAGAGTCACCCCACAAAGGTCTTCCCAGAACAGAACCCTGGAACCACAACCCACATCATATCTAATGAAATTAAGAAAAGTTGGACATACCTCTTGAATTGCTTTCCAAGGAGAGTTTAAGGTAGATGTCGGAGCAACCTTTGCATCCCAGCCATTATTCCTTAGCCCATGAATGCTTTCAATAACCTTGTGCCATAGCCTGTTTCTTTCCAATGGAAACCTCCAAAGCCATTTTCCTAGCAACGAAGAATTCCTGTGAATTAAATTCCCCAACCTTAAACCTCCTTCTTCTTTTGTCTTGCAAACTTGTTCCCACTTTACTAGATGGTCTCTCTCTTTTCATCCCCGGGCTCCCAGAGAAAGTCCCTCATAAGTTTCTCTAACTCCCTTGCTACCCTCACCAGGACTCTAAAAGTGGACAAGAAATAAACTGAGAGGTTTGCTAATGTTGCTCTAATTAAGGTTATCCTTCCACCAATGGATAAGTAATTTCTCTTCCACATAGCCAATTTCTTCGTAAATCTCTCCACCACTAGTTTCCAGAAAACCTCTAATCTAGGGTTTCCACCCAAGAGTAAACCTAGGTACTCTAAAGGCCATTGTTTGATCTCACACCCTAACATCTCTGCTATCACCCTTAGGCTTTCACCATCCAAATTTATCCCTGCTACACAACTATTTTCCCAATTTATCTTCAGAGTGGAGACCGATTCAAAGGAACTAATGACTTCTCGCAGATTTGAAGCAGATTCATGGTTGCCTTCCTCACAAAATAAAATGGTATCATCAGCGAACTGCAAATGAGTTATAGCAACCTCCAAGCTTCCTACGCTCCAGCCTTTAAACAGATTATTCTGATCTGCCTTCAAAATCATCCTGCTTAGGACATCTGCAGTTAATGTGAAAAAGAAAAGGAGAAAGGGGGTCCCTTGCCTCAATCCCCTTTTAGCTGGAAAGTAGTCTCTTGCCACACCATTAATCAGAATCAAATACTGTACAGACCTTAGACAACCTTTCATCCACTTCCTCCACCTCTCCCCTAACCCAACTTTCTCCATGACTTCCAATAGCAAAGACCAATCCACAAAGTCATAGGCCTTCTCTATGTCCAGCTTATACACCAAACCCTTCCCTTTCCTCCTCTTTTCTGCAACACATCCATTGGCCACCAAGATCTGGTCTACAATTTGTCTCCCTTCAACAAAGGCCCCTTGCTATTGTGAGATCACCAATGGCAACACCTTCTTTACTCTCCCTGCTAGCACTCTTGCTATGATTTTGTAGAGACTACCCACAAGGCTTATAGGTCTGAAATCCTTGGGAACTTTTGCTTCCTTCTTCTAAGGGATTAAAGCAATGAAAGTTGAGTTTATTCCTTGGGAGATTTCCCCTTCCAAAAAGAATTCATTGAAAACTTCAAGGTCGCTTTTTATCAAATCCCAACACTCTTGAAAAAAGGCCATGGAGAAACCATCTGGCCCAGGGGCCTTTGACCTATCCATTGAGAAGATTGCCTCTTTTATTTCCTCTAAAGTAAAAACACTCTCCAAAGCTTTTGCCTCAGCTTCAGACACCTTATCCCACTGAAGAACTGGAGGCAATGGGCTTCTCTCCCTCTGGTTCAGGTAAATACTCTTAAAATGGTCAACAAAGGTCTTTACTATCACTTCTTCCCTGGTAGCCTCTATGACATCCACCACCAACCTATCAATCTAGTTTTTCCTTCTTCTTCCACTGGCTATGGAGTGAAAAAATCTTGTATTGCCATCCCCTTCTAGGAACCATTTGCATCTAGACTTCTACCTCTACTCCACCTTTAATTTGCTTTCTTAGACATCTGGGATATTTTGCACACATACCAAAAAAGAGCATGATGTGTTTTTTTTTTTTTTGAAAAGGAGAAATGGAGATGAGTAAGGCAGGAGACCTCTTAGCAACATCAACTTTGCACGATCCTTTTATGCATAACAGGAAGCTAATACAAGTGATATATGACTAGAGATAAAAAAAACCAATACATGGTAATTTGGAAGCTCTGCAACTCTTAACATTTTCAAGCTCAATGACAGTTGGATCCCTCAGAAATACACAATTTTCAGACTAACCAGGAAGACTTTTTTTTGGTATTGAATCATCGCCTTTTGCCCACCAATACATGGTAATTTGGAAGCTCTGCAACTCTTAACATTTTCAAGCTCAATGACAGTTGGATCCCTCAGAAATACACAATTTTCAGACTAACCAGGAAGACTTTTTTTTGGTATTGAATCATCGCCTTTTGCCCCCATAGGGGTTGTATTTCATTTTTACTTGGCATAGTACATTTCTTTTTTTCAGCAACAATCTGACAGCTCTTCTCAAAGGTATGGTGATGGGAACCAATAGCGGGGCTCAAAACCACACCGCTTCTGGGACTATCCAGATCAAGCACTAACCAAACCACCACTCAGTTGGCGACTAACCAGGAAGGCTTGAGAGCTTAAACGATGTGTAGCACAACAAGGAAAACCATGTGCAAGAGAAAGGAAATTTAAGGATTAAACAACTGAACTATTCAAGTTCTAATCCTTAAATGACAATCTCCACATAAGGAAATTGTCCTGAACGAGATATAAAAAAAAAAAAGCCCCAAAACTCATTACAAAAATAGAACACAGGGATAACCAATGACCAAAGTTGGACCCCTACACAAAACTTTAGTAAAACTGCCTTCTTCAGCTAGGTAAATTCGTAACTGCATTCCTCAAAATATTCTAGCAAAACAATCACCTAAAGGGTTGACCAACCTAGAAACAGAATGTAATTACTTATTAGGGGTTCACTCTAGATCTAATAACTTGCCTCTAATTCAATTAGGGGTTCACTCTGGAGGCAAGTTATTATAATTAAGCTACAATTATCACACAATTGATGGATCTAAATACCATCTAACCTAGTAACCCTAAGGCTGTGACTGGTTTGAAAGAAAAGGTAGGGAAAGGTACGAAAACCTATACCAATGTTGTATAAATTTTCATACCTTTTTCTTTCGGACCAAACACACCCTAAAGGCCCATAGTTGCCTAAGGAGAAGTCAGCAATGTTTAGTAGTATCTCCACCATAAAAAAGAAAACTAAGGATAAGTCATAAAAGTTTAAAAGTTAAAACTAGTCTCACCACCATTAAAAGAAAACCAGAAACTTCCTTCTGTTCAATTTCTTGATAAGCAAGACCATGATATTTAACCATGAGTAAAGCTAGAAACACTGCAAGACCTTCTGTCATCAGTAAGCTTTTAAGTCGTCTAATATTATCCATATTTGGACTTCAATGTTGCATGGACATAGGCACAAGAATTAGAATCTGACACATGTCTGGGAGTCCGACTCGGTGAACCCAAAAAGGACTCCTAGAGTTGCTCAAATAAACAATATTTATCATATATTGAACATTGTGAATTTTAATATTATACATAAGATTCATAGAACTATATAACCACTTAAATAGTTGGAAGTGACAAGTTACACAACAGCTTTTGCCTATTCGCCACATAGCAATGCCAGTTGTTTTCATTGTTTTCCTAATTACAAATGTTAATTGGAGAAGATCCAACAAACAATGCCTCATAAGTTATTGTTTAAATTGGAAAATATGAAAACCAGAGTTTCCTATTGGACAGTTTAAAAGATTGGACCACTGTTACATAGAGAGGCATTCAATCAGAATTTGTAATTTTGGACTTTGGAGAGTCAAGAAGCAGGCATTTTAGCAAATTCACTTCATTCACACTGTAGCTGAGTCCAACTAGAGTAGACTTGCAACCCCATACTAGAGTAGCTCTTCCCACCCACCCCCTTACTTGCTAAGGAATCAGGAAGATCAGTGGGATAATCTAGAAATCCATCTGAACAAGCTCTTTAAACAAGAGGCCAAGTCCTTTATTCTCCAGTGTAATGTCTAAGGGTCCAGGGCCCTTCTATACCAGAATACATCCACCCTATCACCTGTTAGTAGTCCCTTTCCACAATCAACTCATTCCGGCCAGATCAGTAAGCAAATTAAATACCCTATAACAGAGTAAGGAGCTCAGCCCTTATTGTGGTAGGAATTCAAAAGAAATGAAAAAAAAAATGCAAACAGCTAAAAAACAAGCAAGATTTTTGTGGTTTGCATTTTGTAACTATGTCCATAAAAGACCCCTGCACAATTCACTGCTCTTACTTCAACAGTGTACAACAACCATAGAGAACAAGCTAGTATATGAAGATTACTGAATTAGGTTGCTTGAGGTTTCCTAATTCATTTACAACTGAGAATAAACATATGCAAAAAATACCCTTGTACAAATGCTCTCCTCCAGTTAGAAGCCTCTCACTCTATGGAACCCCTTGCTTTTCTTGCTCATTCCACCAGCCTTCAATGAATTCCTTTCCCCAATCAGGCTTGATTCTTAGAAAAACACCACACATCCCTAAGGAACGCAGACTGCCAACAGCATACCCATCAGGGTCCTAATTTCCAAACATTTTGAGGCTCTGAGGTTTCAATCACTTGTCTTCTATGTAGAGCAGAAGTTGCTACAAGCTGACAGCCTCTAAGGATGCAGGCGATACTCACATTTACCAAGCCCTCGATTACCTTATTTGCATGGAATATGACTCAACAAAACCAGAGATCTACAACCCTGAGAAATAGTCTAGGGTTAGCAAAAACCCTTTGATTTTTTCTTGACCCTCCTCTTACTTTTTTCTCTGTTGAGAGCTCTTACACCTTGACTTTTTTGGTGTCTGCACTCAAAACTAACATATCATATCAGGGACTTCACCCTTCCTCTCCAAATTTTCTCAATATTACTCTCTCTTCTAAGCAGAGGCTCCTTTTTCTCCTATACATCTTTATAACATTGAGCATAACAAAGGGCTTCAACCATTGTTTGCATTACAATAGATTAGCTCATATCTATTTACTTTTTTATCAAATATTTATTTACTTTAGTCCAAATCTGTGGTAAGTTCTCCCTCTGTTTCTTAGGATTTTTTTTCCTCCTATCTTTATTTTCTGATCTTTTCGTTAATTTTTCACCTACTATATTTTTATTTAATTTGTTCTTGATTAATTATTAGTTAATGGTTTCCCCTCTTGTTATTGTTGAATTCTACCGTTGATATGTGAAGTTTTGTGTTGTTACTTGTCTTGATATGTAAAATTCATTTTTATTACATGCTACTTTAAATAGGAAAGCACCAAAAATATCGCCTTCCTTTCTTCAAAATTCATTGCTTAGGCAACACCTAATCAAGTAGGCAACGAGGTGCCTCCTTGTCACATAGATTCACCTCAGCACCTTGACAACCATGCATACAGTGTCATTCAACTCAACTCAACAAAACCTTGCCCCAGCAAGATGGGATCAGCTATGAACCTCATTTCACCATCCCATTATATTCAGTTCCACGAGTGCAAAATGACAATTCAGGATCCTTGTTCATAAGGGTTTCGAAAAGGTATTATACCACCTGACAACTTAAAACAACCCTCCTCCTTTACCTAGGCTTGGGACAAGCAACACAAGAGAAACTTGTTATTGGTAGAACTTCTGTCATTATGCTTTCATTTCAACCTCATACATCATTAGTAAACATTTTCTTTTTAAGCATTTTCCCCTTTCAATCTCCTTTCTTTTGGAAAAGATTAGAAATTGCAGTTTACCAGGAATGTGAAAGCAGAAATAAAACATATACAAGTATAGCCCATGTACAACAAGATGTCATACAACATGCCCTCCATAAACCCCACAAGGAAAAAAAAGTTTATCTTGTATAGTTCTACTTAACAAATTCTTTTGACTTTCTAAGAGTATTTAGAACTTTAACATGGATCTCAATAATCTAGTAACTAGTAAGTCCATTAAATAAAAATGTTTCTACATTAATTTATTCACTGCATGCAAACAAGTCCTGTCATAACACTCACTTGAACCAAGCATTGGAGTTCAATGATCACATAGTTACTTGGCCAGGGTATTGCTGCCAACTTGCAAAAACCTGTTCAAGAAAATTTCGAAAGTTAAGTCTGTATCCAGTCCCCTCCCAAGAAAATTTTGGAGTATATGAATGTGGAATTGCTATTTCCTAATTTCAGAATTGGGAATCTGGACCATTACCCAATGTTCAGATATTAGGGGTCTTGGGAGGGGACTGGATACAGACTTAACTTTCGAAATTTTCTTGAACAAAATGACCAGAATTGAAGATCTGGTCATGTGAAATGGTGTATTGAAGTAAACTGTCAAAGAATAGTACAATGGAGTGAAAAGAGAAAAAATATAGTGATTTTCTTTTGAACATCATATAGCACTTTTATCAATAATGGCTCACAAAAAGAAACTCAATTGACAAACAGAAATACATAAAACAACAAATGCAAAGATAACAATATTACTTTTAAGAATATAACAAATTAAGAAGATAAAAGAAGCACCATTCTCACAAATAAACTCATCCTATCCTGTTTGGTGGCAGCATGAAGAAATTAGATAAATCATAGAGAAAAGATAAATAATGACTCCACATTAAAAGAATTTATAAGCTCATGCCTATAATTGATCAACTAGGCCAAATAAACATAAGAACAGGGATGACAAGGAAAACCCTTTAGTTAATATGTTTTCAAAAGACATATGCCCTTGCACCCAATGAACACTTGATTAGAAACCACCCATAGGATATAGCCCGAGGAGAACCACTTAATTGCTTTTAGTCTAACATATATAGCTTTGAAGAATGGCCTAATCCCCTATGCAAGCACTTGCATAGACATCTTTAATAGAAGCGAAAACTCCTTAAATCTTTCTTCATTTACTACCAATGTTCATTTTGTCCTTTTTTGGATAAGCAGCAATGTATTTGATTGATATAAAGAAGGCAAGGAACCCTCAAAAACATGTATAGATGGTACTGAACCATCAGTGAGACACATCCTAGGAGGTCCGTGTTTATATTCCAAAATCCAAACAAAATATCAACAGAAACCCATAGATACTGTTCTATACTTCTATATAGCTTTACTGGTTGAACTGGGTGAATTTAGGTTTCTTCTAGTCTGGTGCTGGAATCTGGACAGATTTCAAAAGGATTTTCGGATCCTGGATTGGCTTGTGCTTGGATGCTGTGTTCAGGTTGTGATCTGGGATTATTGTTTTACAGATGTTGTGGGTGGGACAGGATTGTATAGGTTTTTTATTTGTTTGTCTGTTTCTGGGGTGATTTCTTATCACCAGGTTTTGTATGCTACTTATTTAGTTTTAATATATTTTCTTTTTTATTTATCTTAAAAAAATATGGTTCTAAACCTTTAACTTAAAACCACCAAAAAAAGAAAAAAAAATGTGCTTTGAATTATTAAGATTGTCAGATTTGTAGTTGTCTCCCAATTACATCCCAACAAGAAGGAATACACCAAACAAGATTCAAAGTATCGACACAGGCCGATACGCCGGTATTGGTACTTTTTTTATGTTTTATTTTTTTTTTTTTCAAAACCTGCTCAGACAGGTCGGTTTAAGCCCTGGCTACCCTCTGAATCGTGGTCTGACCCGATACAACCCCTGTAGGGGCGTACTTTGAACCTTGACACCAAATAAACCGCTTATGATCTATGAGTTAGAGAAACATTTAAGGTATAATCCTATAGCCTATAGGATAGCAGGTTGCATTACAGAGAGAACATCTGGAATCTGGATACGTTCTATTTCTTCTTGTTAACTCTTAGAGGCCTTCATTGTACCCAATTACGGTCCTTATTGTGCCACTGTGTAAATTTGTCACAACTGAAACTGCACGCTTAGCATGCAGAGAAGTAGAACCGCTGTTGAAAAGTAGTTTATAAGAAAAAATTGCCTATGGAGACGGTATCACAAAAAACATAAATGGGCAAAGATGCATCATCAAGGGAAGGAGAAACTTACATTCCCATTCAGTCCTTGAAACTCAGGAGAGTTAATTATTGAAAGAGCTGGGGCAAGATAGACAAATGATGGACCTTGTATCAATGGCAACCTCGATCCAAAGGATGTGTGCAACAGAGTCGTCACTCCCGATACAAACATCACGGTTGACACTACCATGGAAGTATCCTCCTGGCACTCACTAATTCCCATTAGACCAAGTGATCTACAATCAAATTCATGTCAACCAAATACATCTTCACAAAACCAATTTAGTATAAAATGAATACTCACTTGACTGCCACCCATTGCTGGGACTATAACAAGTGGAATGAGAATCAACGAACCTAAAATGGAAATGTAATGCTGCAACCCATATAGACCAATTGGAACTGGAAACAAGAACCCGTTGCAGATTAAAATCAACATAATCAATACAAAAAGAAAATAATTATTTTTTACTCATCAGCGACAAAGAAAAAAATATGAGAAAGCTCACCAAGGCCAGGGGTATCTCTGAGTTCATACTTCATATGTGAATGGCGAGCAACAAAGACCTCATCGTCGACGACTTGAGGCAGAACATCGATAACCTCTTCTTCCCGGCTAGGCTTGGGAGGAGGTTGCGGCGCAGGGTCCGACCGAACCTGCCCATTGGGACCCGGTCCAGCACTCCTAACTGCTCCTTCCGAATCCCTTCTCTTCCTGATGGACTGATCCTTATCAGACGACGACGGCATTTTATCACTCCCCGGTTCACCATTCGCAGCAGGGGGCGCCCTACCTCGACCGGATTCGAGATCCACTGGAGCCTCGCCCTCCTTCGGCTTCGGTGCTGCAACAATCTGACCAGAATCACTGGCATTCGTCTCCCCAGAGAACCTCGCTCTGAATCCCGTCCTCTTCGCCCACGAAGACGGCATTGCCGACTGCTCTCCCGCCGGCGGCCACGGCCCTGGCCGTGGACGTTTCGTTGGGTCGGAGCTCGCCATTTCGCCCGGCAAGCTAAATCTGCATCGCTGCACGATGAACACACAAATGCCCGTAGATCTGGTCTATCTAGGGTTCGCAAACAAGTCCCTCGCGACTTGATAGTTGAAATCACTGTTAGGGTTCCCTCAGAACCTTTTAATGTGTAGAGAGAGAAAGAGAGAAAGAAAAAATGTTGCTTGATGAGCTTCTAGCTTCCACTGCAACAGTTCATAGAGAGAGATGCCTGGACTTTGGAGGTTTAGAAACGCCAAAATGAAAAGATGGTGGTGCAGGTGGTGGTGGTGGTGGTGGTGGTGATGGTGATGGTGTAGAGAGAGAGAGAGACAGAGAGAGAGAGTGAGAGAGAGAGAGGGGGGAGTGAGAGAGAGTGAACCAATAGTGATGTGAGAGGGAGGAGCGGTGGCCGAGCCGAAACCCGTTTTCGTTTTTTCTATTTTTGTGTTTCGATTTGTTTGTTATTCGTTTGTTCTAAACCTGTATTGCCTTACTAATCGGATGCCGTAACGGGAAAAAAGAGATGGGACTTGGGAGTCCTCAGTCATGGGCCAGGCCCACTGGCCCAGGCCGACAGCTACACCTTCTTCTAATCTTCATTTCTTATTCACTAATCCCTGATTAGAATTTATAAATTACAACCCTCAATTAATAATATATCATCTGGTATGATTAGCAGCATGTCTGCCACGTGTACGGTGGTTTTCTGATTGGCCTGATTTGAGATCCAACGTTTGACATGAGGGGTTGGGAATAAAATGTGTGATAGTGGACGTTGGATCCATGGATTTCATTTTTGTTGCCCTTTCGGGATTAATGCCACGAGCCGAGTTGGCTTGTCAGCTCGAGTTTGCCGTTTTGGGCCCAACCAGGATTGACCAGCCAGAAATTAGACTGGACCGTTGATGGGCCCAGATGAAGGGCATGTTGCTTTTTGGATTAGGATACGCATCGGCCGGGTTAATGTGTTGAGGTTGAGGATATGAATTGAAACAGATGGGGACCATAGTGTTGGACCGGTTTGTATTGGTAGTAAGCCCATTGGATAAAATCAGTGAATCAAATGATTGGATTAATCACTGGCCCATAAATTTTTTATTGCTATTTATGTTTTGATACACCTAATAAAAAAAATAAGAATTTTCTTTTGAAGGAAAGACTATCCTTATGTAGAGCAACCACTAAGAACTGTTTCTCTACCCAAAGAAAAAAAAAACACTAAGAGGTAGGTAGCAATGTGAAGGTTGATGTCCTAAGTTCTCTGCTAGTTGTAGTGGAGATGTGGGATCAAATCCCACTGTCACCAAGGTTGGGGCGTAGGGGTATCAATTGGACCGGATTTGGTAACATATGTCCATTTACAAATTGAGCTGGGTTCAGGGTTTGCTCTTGTCAAAATTTGAATCGGTTCGGCCCAAAGCCCAAACCAACACAATACAAAGTTAGGCTCTAAGCCCTGCCTGTGAACAGGTCTCTTTACAGATGGACTAGATTAGGACTGTCAAATAGGTCGGGTCTACACAATGGACCCAAACCGATTGAACCAATTATAATGGTTCTGATTTCATGATTTTGTCCTGATTAATAATTGGGTTGGTTCCATTTCTAGCCTGTCCTAAACTGATTTTGTCCTAGAACCAATTATTTTATTAAATATATATTAACTTTTTTATTTTCTTACAATTTTTATTATATTTTATGTTTGAAATGGTAAATTTAATGGATAGTAAATAAAACAATATTATTAAAAAATGCTTAATTTTTAACATATAAACAATTCAGTATTTTTTTCTATCATTTTTATTAAGCTTATATTATTTAAATAAATATATATAGTTCTCAGAATAATCGGGTCTATTGGGTCTCTGGGTTTGTGATTTTGTCCCGATTAATAGGTTTGGGATTAGTTTTACCTGGACCTGACTCATTGACAGTCCTAGTCTGGACTAAATCTGGTCCGACCCCATACAGACCAGATCCAATCCAGTCCGAATGAAATGCAAATAGACGGGACCCAGTCCAGCCCCCCAAACTTGAGGGGGTTATGGGTTTGGGGGACGCATCACCCCATGTTGTGTAGCCCCAAAAAAAATATATCAATCATCAAGAGAAAATTACAATCCTTATGAAAAAAAAATCATTATTCCAGGATAAATGGAAAATTCATGGAATCTTAGAATCCTTAGCTACAACACAATTACGCCTACGCTTCTGTGTCAAAATAAGAGAGAAGCATAAAATTGAGGGAAACTTGACAAAATTTGCAAAATTCCTTAACAACTTTTCTCCGAACTTTATATTTCTCTCTTATTTTCTTTCAAACTAAACACAGCCTTAATGATTTAAATCCAAGGGTATTTTGGGTATACGTTAAGAATGTCTAGGAATGAGATAAAATAATCACTACAATGCCTGTATCTCACTATGCTCTCAAGTTACTGAAATATTGAATACCACATTTTTTTTAATTATCCACTGCCACCAAAGATTGGACCCATTAACATTTTGAATATGAGGCCCAGTGGGCCAAACTGTGACTCCAATCCCTACACAACCCACTTCAAATATCATCATAAATACTAGAAGAGAGGCCCACAGGGGGGGGGGACCATGACCATCTAACAAGCAAAAACTATTTTTTTAAATTTGCTGTTGGGTCCGTCTCTGGATTATTAGAACCATCCAACCCAAGATCGCTAATAATGGTTCATATTCAAATCCTGTTTTTTTTTTTCCTTTTGAACATTTTAAATGAATCATCGGTTGGGCTGTCTGTCAAAGGAGAATTGAACCAAAGTGGTCCCTTTTCTGGCTACTTTGTCTGGACCTCATTCTCATCTTCTAGAACAGAAAGCCTCACAGTTTTCAGGCACGAAAAGGATTTGATTGGAGAAGGCCCATTGGCTCCTTTACATCTGCCTGATATTTTGGGCTTCCACCCTCTTGCAATTGCTCCAGCTTCGACCATAGGAGCTGTGTTTATTGTGTCATTAACTCTCATACCAAACCAGAACAAGTGCAATTATAAATGAAAATTATTTTTTTTTTAGATCTTTGTTTTTTTAATATTTTTCGTGGGGTTTGGGCCTTTGGGGGAGCGTCAGTGTAATGGGCTTATAGTGATTAACGTTTTAATAATCTCATTTAGAGTCCACAGATTTAAATTGCTAACCAGGCCAACCTCACACTTCTGTGCTTGGGATGAAGACATTCTGGCCCACCACTCCATCGAGTACATTAGCGTATAAAGATTTCTTTTAAGCCCTAAGGCTGATTGCATTCAACTCAATAAAAATTACATCTCATCAAAAGCTAAAGACATTAATGAAGTCAGGAACAATATATGGGGTCATTGATTTATCATGATAAACTACTTATTTTGCTAATTTATGAGCTATCGTGTTATTAAGACAATATGTATGAGGAACATCCATATAGAAGAAGTCTCTAATTAGGCTCGGATATCTTACGATTCTTACCTACAAACTGTTCCCACAAGACATTAAAAATATCTCCCTTGTTATTCATTGAAAGATGTTCCTAATACATGGTGGTAGTGTCTTGTGGATATGGATGTGAAAACAGTTTATAGATAAGAGATCTGGAGTGTCGATAATCGGCAACTATACATCGAATGCACCATGGTGGATTAAGGTCAACTTCTGAAATCAATTTGATAATATATTAAGCATCTCATTTCCAAACAAATCAAGTTTAATTGCAGAACTTTTGCAAGAAAGAGGACTTCAAGTATAGCATTTGTTTTCACTTCTTCAAGAACCCCAAATTTGACAACTAAGGTTCTTCCCATAACGAACTTTTCAATAATGTTTTAAAAATTAATCTGGAACTGGAACTGCTTTGACCATTGTTTATGGGTCAGTGGTTTGTTCATCCGTCCCAAACGGATGATCCATTATAATTTAAAAAATAAAAAATAATTAAAATAAATAAATGGACAAAATCATTGGCCAAGTCGAATAGATTAACGGCTCAACCACCCAGATTAACTAATTAATGACCAAGTCAACAATTCTTGACAAAGGAACAATTTAGGGATGAAATGAAACCGATTGCTTAAACAATTTTCACGCCAAAATGGTTTGACTGTCCTGAACAATGATGGTATAAAAACCACGCCTTCTAGCATAATCTCTAAGAACAATATCCACACCAGCTGACTTAGAGGAGCTGAACCTATCCACTACATCCACATGTCTTCTCCCTCTACCCAACTATCTCACATGTAATACTGCACATGCCCCATTCTAAGCTAGTTACCCATAATAAAAGAAAGAGTTCAATACTCCATTTTTGTTGACTGTGCAAACATTTTAATGCCTACCATACCCTCATTTTTTAATCTTTCCCATCTATCCTCTGCAGCCCTCTTCAGCACTACCAACCCTGGTTGGTCTATCTCCTCCACTACTTTGGCTTCTCTTCTCCACAAATCATTCACTTTCTTCATTATTAGGGCTGCAAATGGATTGGACTGGGATACATAAATCCAAAATTTATTAATTAAAATTCAAATTTGAATTCAATAGCATCTACTAGAGCTAAATAGGATTCATTGAATTCGGGTATTAAATAGTATTAATAAATTAAACTAAAAGGATCAAAATATTATATATTATCAATAAAATGAACTACAAGAGACTTTATATTTTATATTGTAAATAAAATGACTTGAAACTGGCCGAGACTTCAAACTGTGACTTTTACTATGCTTGGTGAGAGAAACAAAAAGTTGAGGAAAAGTTCTTAACAAATTTTATGAAATTTTTTCGGTTGCATTTGGTTGTAGTGCAATTTTATTTGTAATAGTATAAATGCATGAGTGTGAAAGTGAAGGAATGCAAACTCTGATTTAATTTTGTTAGATTGGATCGTGGTGAATTTATATTTAATCCAATTATATTCATATAATTTTTTTTAAGTAATATACATCACAAGTTCGGATCACTTTAACCAGATAGTATTTGAATTGGGACAAACGGATATCATTTAGAGTCTTATCAAATAATGTACTCTTTTGCACTTGTTGTAACCCTAACGTGTCCATCTACAGACTCTCCATTGATGCTTCTCTGTCCACCCTCTCCTTTTCGTCTTCTCTCTGGTTCTCGTAAGGATGCAATCTAACAAAAGGAAAAACAACCCTTAAGGGGTAAGGGACTGGGCTATCTTGGCCCCATTAGTAAATCAAACTTTTGGCCACTTGCTCATTTCCGGTGCAAACCCATCATAGCATGTTGTGTCTCCACATCTCTAATTAATGCACCAAACGTTTGGGATAACTTAATCAAACTCGTGATGAACTAGGAAATGGGCTGGGCTGGATAAGGGCAAGAAGAGATGGGCCCCAATGTATGAATGTTTGCATGGGTCCCACGTGCGGGGCCCAATGTTGGGGAGTGGGTGGACGTTGGAAGAGAGCGTG